GTTTGTGGCAATACTCATTTCTATTGAAGTTATTAGCTGACCGAATTGGATATTTCTAATATTTGAATTCGTCTTGTTAAAAATTTATTTTACCTCATTTGACATTTTATGTACATGTTTAGAACTATATAATTGAGTCTAAATGTAACGTTCATGTTTTTGAAAGTGAAAGTGTTTCGAAAAAAGGTGTTTGAACATGCCCTTTGGGGATATGTCCACCACGTTTTCTCCAGTCTCAGAGCTGAGGAAGACTCTGGTGGTCAGATTCCTTCTAGATCTGAGCCACTTCCTTCCTCACTTTCATCTCTCACTCTCTGTGATTTGCAGCTGGAGGGGGTACTTCCTGCAGCCCTGTCCTTCCAAGAAAACAAAAAGGTGATTATCTCCGAAATCAGTCTTGTGTTGACTTTCACTCTTTGCTCTCTGATTTTGCAGTTCTTTGGGCTTGTGTCTCAGGGTGGTTGTGTGTGTGAATCTTGTTGGAACTGATCACCAGGCCCAAACAGGACGGTTTTCAAAACGTCCTTCTGTATCAGAATCGCTTCACGCTAAGGTTCCAGTGGTTAAGTCAGGGGTCAGCACACTTTTTCTAGAAAGAGTCAAATAGTAAATACTTCATCCTTGTGGGCCATACTGTGTGTGTGTGTGTGCCTGTAAAACTATATTTACAAACGCAGGTAGGCCGTTATTTGCCCCGTCACTTTGAGAATGTGTTACAGTTTATACAGGTAATTGATCTTTCTTCTATATATTGTCTCATATTAACAAGGAATATTATAAATAGCTTGCTTTGTTTGGTTAATTATTTTGTTAATTTGGGCCTGGTTATCATTTTCAGCCATGTGTAACTCTGTACATGCTAGTATGTTCTGATGCACTTGATTGATTTTTATTAAATCTAAGTGTTTCTGTTATAATCTGATGGTTTGGGTACACTATACCCCACGTTGTACTGCCCAGTTTTTTCTTTTGCAGTCTGAATTCCTGTGGGGAAGCATTGAATGCCTAGAAGACTAATCCTTTTTTGTGTTACCACTTGATGTTTAATTGAATCTTATACTTAATATTATTTGCAGTATTTGATTGTATCTTAATAGGACAGTACTGAAATTGAAGCCCTCACTGAATTAAGTCAGCGTTGCTTAGAAGGACGTCCAGTCAGTAATGCTGGGACCTCCATCACGTAGAGCACTCGACCAAGGTTGAGATTATGGTGCAGCGTTGATATTGCTTAGAATCTGAAAGATGCCAGGGAAAGCTGGCACATAGCTGCAGGCGTGTGGCAGGTGTTCCCACCCTTGCGTTGTTGGTCTCTCAGTGACCTTTCTGGTGACAGACAGAAAGGTGACTGAGTTATGGTGTTGGGATCAGCTGCTTTGTCTTCTTCTGCTAGTACACAGGGTGTAGGGTCTAGCTCTCTCTCTCGGTTTTTCCTCTTTCAGTGATAACTTTGCTTTTCAAACTTGTTTGCTATAGCAACAAATCCTGCCCCACTCCCGTCCTGAGTGAGGTCTGCCTTTGTGTGAGACAGATGAGAGCAGGGTGCTCTGGGCAGAGTTGGGATTTAGGGATGTGGCCTGGAGGCTCGGCTCTGGCAGCGGCTCCCGTCTCACACCTTCCAGGAGTCTGTGGAACTGAGGAGGGCTGGGGGGGGGGCAGGTTTTGTAAACAGCCACTTTGGAGATAGAAACTGCTTTCATTTCAATCCAAATACACCTCTTTGAAACCTGATTTGATTTTTCAGGGTAACTGACTTGTCCTGCATTAAGGGGCCCTGTTGCTATAGGTCCTCCAGTTGATTCTGACCCACAGCGCCCCTAGAGGACAGAGTGGAACTGC